TAGTCTGAAGACAGCTTCGGGCGGGAGAACGTGAAAGCACTAGGCTTTTCGTTTAGACTGAGTTCATACGCATGTCAGTCACGTCGCATTCGGCTGCGAACCATTCTTGGTAACAGTGTGGATCAGTTTCAGAAGATGTCATTTAAACAAAGTCGTCTGCAGACAGCAACCTTCTCGTCTCTAGATCTCCTGCACCGATACACTCATCGCTTTGGCTGCTCCTAATTATTCTGTCCATGTACAACACAAACAGGATAGGGGACAGGACGCAGCCTTGGTGGAGACCAGTGCGAACGTTGAATGGTTTTGACTTAACGCCATTAACTCTGACGCAGCACCTGCTATCATAATACAGTGATTTGATGGCCCTTAGCAGATCGCCATGTATTCCGTATGCTCGAAGGCATGACTACAGGCTGTCGCGTGGGATCTGGTCATAGGCTTTTTCTAGGTCCACAAAACACATGTGCACCAGACGGGCGTGCTCCCACGATTTCTCAACAATCTGGCGCGGGCAAATATATTGTCAGAGGTGCTTCGACCTTGCCGGAAGCTACACTGCTGTTGCATTTTGGAATATGTTATTCCGCACCTTTGCGTGGACTTTACCTGGGAGAGTCAATACGTAATGACCAGGTAATTCGAGCACTACCTGTTGTCACCATTCTTGAATACTCGTAGAACAACTCCCATTCTGCAGTGGTGTCTCTCCCGTTCTCATCGCAGTTTGACAGATACGCGTAAGCCAGCACATGCTTTCTTCGCCTAATTCTTTGAGCGTTTCAGGGCGGATTTCATCAGTTCCAGCAGCCGTTCCATTTTTGAAGCTTTTCACAGTTTGTGTAATTTTATCTTCAGAGATAATAATATCCTTTGCCTGCTGCTCTAGAGGCGAGTCTTCCTGCTTTTGCTCAGGGTTAAAGAGTTCCTCAAAGTACTCCCTCCATCGCCGACGAATATCGTGATGCTTGGTAAGAGAGTGTTCAGACCTGTCCTTCAAGAGACTTAGGCTGCCCTTCTTTTCACCTCGGAGCCTGCGGATGGTCTGCAAGAATACCTTGTTTGACGAGTGGAAATTCGACTGCAACACCTCGCCGAAACTTGTCCCAGAAATCAGCTTTGGCATTCGCCACTGCTTTCGCTGTCCCTTTGCGTGCCTCGACATATTGCACGCGAGTAGAAGGCTCTTTTTCCAAGCCATTTCTTGAATGCTGTCTTTTTCTCTTTAACTGCCAGCTGTACCTCTCATGTCAGTCAGCAAGATCTAACCTCTGGGCGGCAGGCCAACCCGTTTAAATCCGCAGTTTTCGGCGGCAGCGTGAAGTATGCTGCTCTTACAGAGCTGCCACTCGGTTTCCATAACGGTGGTCATCACCGGGATCTTTGCATACCACCATGTGATGTTGTTTGCAAATTTCGCTCTCATGTTTACCGAAGATAATATTTCCGATCTGATTATCTGGTTGCTTCTGCCCGCATATCTTTGTATTGTCCTGTTTCTTGCAGCGCAGCGTGCCAACAAGATGGTGATCGGTTGATAGCGCTGCGCCTCTCGTAACGCGAACATCCATTACTGAAGATCTTAAGTTAGGCGATACGATTATCAAGTCGATCATCGACTTGTGTGCACAAGCTTCCTGCTACCAGGTAAAATGATGCACGCTTGGATGCTGGAAGGTGTTCATAATAGACAATCCGTTGTTTGCACAAAACCGCAACGACTTCATGCCGTTACTGTTGAGGCCGCTAGGGCCATGTTTTCCAATCACGCCGTTCCGCTTTTCAACGTCTACTCCGACATGCGCATTAAAATCTCTGATGAGTATGAGGGACTATGTATTCTGCACTTCGGGCAGAGCGCACTGCATTTCCTCAAGGAAGGTGTCGTATTTTCCCTCCAGATTGAGCGAATAGACCTGTACCAAGTTCAACTGTTTTTCCTGTTATTGCTTCAGTCAAAGGATTGCGACCCTTCCACTGACGGGCTTCCAATCAGTGATCCTATCTACGCGGTTGGGTTCTACAAAAACACCATCGCCGGCCTGAGCGTGCGTTGTGATATCGACACCTAAGTAGAATAGCTTCCACTCGCAGAGGTTCAGGATTCCAGAGGATTGGCGTTTCGTTGATGAGAGTCCAGCGATATCCAGTTGGTATTTTATGGTCTCATCAATTAACTCTTACTCTTTCCGTCTTAGTGAGGATATTCCAATTTCCGTCTGTAAGCTCCCACTGCCTATGTCATTCTAATGGAGCCTTTTCTGACGTGCTGTAATGGCATCGCGCTGTCTGTCTCTTCCGTTCAGAACGGGTATGGACTTCATTGCTGGCTGGTATCTTCCTCGTCGTTCAGTCGATCTTCAGCTGCTGTAGTGCTGCTACGCCTCCGGCTGGCAGAGAGCGATGAGCAGGTTCTGATCGGCGACTTTTCACAATCCGCCTCAATCCCGCAAGAACTGCGCATCCCTTGGTGTCCCGGGCGACGACCGAGCGGGTATAATTTTGGATGACGTCGATACCATAATGGTTAGGTGGCGAAATTTTACGGAAAACTCTGCTTGTTCCTCAACCGGTCTTGGGAATGGCAACGGCTGAGGTGAGGATACACTGCAAAGTTCAAATTTGGCATCTCCGTGACGGTACAAAAGCTTTGGATGGTACAAAAGAGCACACAGTTCGATAAGTCGAGGACGTTTTATTATATTGATATTGATTGGTCTTCACCCGAAGTATTTTATAATCGTCTTGTTTCTTGACCGTATCATTGTGTCTCATGCTAGTCT